GTGCCTTCGATGTCCGTCAACTGTGATATGAAAAGCAAAACTGTTGCTCTGTAAGTTGCAGTGCAGAGCGAAGCTTTTGAGATAGGTTGTATAGTGTCTGTGGTGCATGCTAATGGGTAGGTGGACAAGTGTTATACTGATGTGTCCTACTGATGTTAAACGCTGATTGTGTCTTCCGTACATTTATGACTATATCTCTCCCATGTTTTGTTTCGTAGACAACGCCCTTGCGGTCGAATGCGTAACGTGACCCATAATCCGTATAGGTTGTTTTCCGTTGGAGCAAATAAAGAAGCAGAGTGTTTACCTACAGTTAACCTCTACTTCATTCGAATAATCATCATCGCTCGTTCTCGAAGAAGATATTGGTCGTTTCTTGAGCACAAATGTCCGAAAACAACAATGAAGTCCAGTGTAATTAACTTTCGTCAATTACCAAAAACAGAAATCGTGAACAAGTAACTCATTTATTCAACAAATACAAAACGTTCAATCACTGATACTAAGATTCCAGCGCAGCGTTAGTTCCAACTGTTTGATAAACCACACTGAACATAAATGTCACCCTCATTTTGTTTAGACATACGGACTGACTCGGAAATATAACCACGTACTGTGAGTTTAAACAACAATAAACATGAAAAACAAGGCCACAACAGGGAAATGCTAGGGCCATATATTGAGATGTTATTACGATCAAACAAGATAACTGGTGTCAGTATCTTGGCTTTCCTGATACTACTCCAACCAAGAAAAGAATGCGCAGTGTTCTCCTTCTCCAATTAACTCTTTTGCTTTATCTAAGTTCTTCATTATGGAATCGCACACCAAACGATGGATAGATAGAACAAACGGATGCACTGTTATTGACCTCATTGACTCTTATCCATCATTTGGCGAAACTAAATGGTTGATAAGGATTTAACTGAAACAAACATGATAGTGCCAGTCACCGATAACCACACTTAAAACTAAACCCTGTATGTCAAGTCCGTAAGTACCTGATTTTATTGACCATGTGACTGAGTATGTGTCGAATTTTCTTTGATTCAGTTAAACTTTAGCATATTTACCAAGAATCATACAGGTATGACCGTACCTTTGTAAGCTCAAGAAAAAAGACGACACTTCCCTTAACCGATACACGACATGAAAACTAGTAGATAAACGTATTATGTGCCACATTCCTATTGGTTGATTACTTACTCGGTGATTGAATATATCTTTTTCAAACGTCTCGAGATATGTATGTCTGGTGAGTACTGTTTTGTCATCAGCTTCATCGAATTCTCCAGTTGATCTTTTCATACTGATCTACCAATATAACGACTTAATATCATGTATTGTTACCCTGCCTGATACAGTAGCAAAAAAGATGTGAAATAACTTCTCAGAAAACGTACTTCATTCAAAGTGACGTCCCAAAAGTCATGATGTTAATTTCGATTTATTTTGGATCATTTAGCCTGTCGGACAAAGAGCATGAAACGACTGAAGCTAGTAATTTTGATTTATCTCAAAAACCATATTGCGGGAGAGGACAAACCAGATTCTAGTGGAGGATGAAATCAGGAAGAAGCTCTGGAAGTAGATAGGACACACAATGAGGAATGCACCCAACTGCGTCACAAGCCAAACCCTCACATGCAATCCTTCAAGTCAGAGGAAAAGAGGAAGACCAAAGAACACATTACGGCGAGAAATGGAGACACACATGAGAAGAATGAACAACAATTGGATAGAGCTAGAAAGGTAAGCCCACGACTGAGTGGATTGTAGAATGCTTGTCTGTGACCTATGCCCCATTAGGAGTAACTGGTGTAAATAAGTTAGTCAACAACCGTATTCAGCTACTACGCTTTCATTCGATCAAATTCAAACAGAAAATGTTCATTAACAAATCATAAAATGAATGAGAAATAATCAATTTAAACAATGTTTACAACTTTCTCAACACCAAGTTCCATATCACCCTTTACTGTTGTAAACAATCACGATTGCTTTGGATAACCATTCAACAATCCAACAATGAAGAATATAATTGTCCAGTGACAAACCTTGTGATTCATATTGTAATTAGGAATCTATTCATTTCATAATATCGTATGATAATTTCGCTTAAATCTTACGAGATATCAGGCCATGAATGAAAATCTTCAGAATAATTATTATTCAAATGACCTTATTGAAAAACAGACTACCAATCGTCAGTCACATCCTACTTACTGTATTATACAATTATGAAATATATTTAGTCGATATTTTCGCTCTCTCTCCAGTCTCTAAGTATATCTATATATACATTGAATGCAACTGTCGACAACCATTTGTAACTAGTTGTAAACATGATACAGTCAAACGAACACATTACCATTTACTTTGCATTAATGATCGGTAAGTTTAATACTTTTAGATTGATATTAGTTGTGTATTTTTTGTAGAACTAAGATGTATTGATAACAGTTGATGAACTATTAATCTCGAGATAAAACTGTTTCTTCGAGTGAATATATATATATCTCAGCGAATGAATTTTGAAGTAAATCCAACGTGTTGCTTGGCCATCTGGTTCAAGCTTTCTCTCGAATGCAAATACATTCCTCCTCTTCAATGTCTTAGATCAACTCGGCGCTCAACTACTGTGAAACTATTCGATCAACTTTAAACAGCAGTTCTTAAACATTATTTTGCAATTGTATCAATTGGTAACTGAATAGTTCGATAATGGCTTATGGTAACATGCATTACATCAATTATACTCCTCTAAAACTGAGATATAATCCAAACCGATTGCTTAGTGATGTGTCATTGTTTACAACTTTGTGATCAGTAGATTATGAGTAGTAAGAAATCATCACACATTCTTCTTTTGTAACAATGTGATTCGTTGATAAATATGGATAAAGATGGTATTTTATGACACATAATCAGTAGTAAGTGAACTTTAAAAGTACAAATAGTGGAAAGCGGATTACATAACGATTTCCACAAATTCAATTAGTTCATCAATGATCATAATGGAGAGACATCCAATAGTATATTCATTGTGTATTTTAAATTAAGTGAGATTTCAACAATAAAATAAGCGATATTGAATTCATAGAACGACCGTTCGATCCAGGAAAATGATATATAAATGACTATTGCATCAACATTGCTATCGCCATTGACAGCATTCATTCTGGTCAATCACTTGGAACTACACTCACTCGCTTATCACGATGGAGTAATCTAGGTGAAATGGTGAACGCATTGTGTGACTTCGATGTGAACAAACAGATCACGTCATTTCTGTCGAACTCGAGTGTGCCTTCACCAACTGTATAGATCGCGAACGTTAATGATGTACATACACTAGGGCTGTTTGTTGTACAAAATTAAAATCTATGTATATTGAATCAAGATACAATAGGCATTTCAATTAGGTTCAAGTTGTTACATGTGTTTCACAATGCAAAGTCATAATCACATATCATATCGCATCATATTCCTGTTCATGTTTTACCAATTTCACTAGTATTCACGTCACTACACACGGCAAACGGACAATATAAACCTGCATATTTGGAAACGAATATGGTTGAAAGTGAGTGTGATTATTAGAATTATGAATAAACATCCAAGCATAATGTTCCCATTGTAAGCATTCGTTTCAATTCCCTCTAAATCATTACATTTCTGAAACGGTCATTCCCTATTCCCATCATAATACATTTATCCTAGTTTCGTGATAACGAAGATGAGTGAAATTATTGTAGGATGATTGTGACTGCACAAACGACAGTGTATTTCCCTAGTTAAACGAAAAATTCATCACAAGCTAAATTACTCGTCACATCACCGGACTAAATCATCACGTGCTTAAAAACACTGTTCAAATGACATCGACAGTGTGTGAATAAACTGCAAACCGACATAGATTCCTACTGACAGTTACATGTGGAAATGGAGAGTATTCGAAGATGAACTTACATCGTACAAGCAAATGAAGTTGTATGAAAGCACATTCAGAAAACAGTTGTGACGAGCATAACTAGACAGAAAACAATCCAATCCACAGAACAATACATGTGTGCATTTCCAATGAATTGTCCTAAAGATAATTGATATTATATTTATAAATAAATAATCGAAATCTTAATTTGTGATGTGCATCGCAAGTTGCAGTAACTCATCCACCATTAATATGTTCATCTTGAACTTGTTCAATCAAAACTGTGCATTCTGTAAAACAGACCTCGTATTAAATTGATCAATTGGCCACATAAGAGAAAATACTCAATCATTTTAGTCGACTGTCAGTTTATAGAGTACAGAAATTCGAGTGTCAGTGCCATCAATATGATCACACTGGATAAACAGTCATACCTAATAAATTAATTGCACCCTAATCAAACTCTCAATTTCAAGTGTTTTCTCTTCATTTCCAAACAGACGATGCAAATACAAATACTTTCCGCGTAATTCAAGAACAGACGACAGCCATGGCCTTCGAATGGAAACCAATGACGCACGAAAATTTTGGTTATGTCTATTTGCTTCAAGACATAACCGGTTGGTTTGATAAAACAGTGAAAGTATACGAAGGCAATATAGGTTTATTAAAAGCTATTGGCAAACCATGTGAACATTCAAAATATCGTGCCGAAGGCTACACCAATAACTTCTTTCCTTCAAATTTCGACACCGTTAGCATGACATACAAAAGAGGTGAGTTGTTTCTAAGCTCTTACCCAACGATCACAATTCCAATCTCTGTTCCATCTTCAACACTATTATATAACATTCGAATTCCATATTGAGATCTTAAGAGATCACATGTCTAGTGGAATGTTTGATTGTATCTCTTGTGATGAATGTCAATCTATGTGTACTTTGTAACGAAGCCACAGTACTGCTCCGTTTGATATATTCATCATCAAATCACTGTGTTCATCAGCAATGACAATTTCACAGTGCATTCATTTTGTGCTCACATTGTTCCTTTCATTCCTTCCTAGTTCCGAGAATCAATAAAGTTCAAATTCAGTTGAGGTCAAATCTGTATTCACATGTGAAGTGGGAAAGAGAAAGAACAGCCTGTGAACCAACTGATTCCATCATTATATTCAGAGGATTTTCGAACCAAACACTAAAGATGTATACCATCACGAGCAACCAAATTGAGTACTATTCGGATGAATTCAAAACAGAAGAAGGAATGGAAGAAGTGTTCATTGTGTTCAACAAACATGGAAACCGTTTCTCTCTACCGACGATGGGTAACATTTTCTTTGTGTGTCTTATGCATTGCAAGATTTTTTCTGGCAAGCAATGTTGTGGAAGTAGAAAAAATTGTGCACATGTGGTGAAATCGCACATGTTTGTCAGTCGACAAATTTAAAAGGAATATCTACCAGAGTGCTTGTCTATGTTCACATCTGACTCACCCAAATGTAGTTCAGATGTGTGATCCAAATAATGTTGTTTCTACGTCAACTAACAGTGCCTGCCATTACAGAAATATCGAAGTTATTCATAGTCACAGTTCACTGGTCGATGTAATCTAATCACAACGGTTGACATCATGATAATATATATCTAGATTAAATGAGCCGTTGTTGCTTTAGTTTTCCAGTTTTCGAATGTGATCAAGCAATGTGATCATGACGATTTGATGAAATCGGTAGGAAAACCCATACTTACAATCGAGTTCACGTTTCTGACGTCGCTCAGTAATTTAACTCAGTTTTGAACATCTCTCCATATAAATGTGTCTCATCTCAATACGCTGAAATTCGCTTCATCATGATTAGAGTCATTTGATATTCATCTACATCGATGACGTCATCATCACAATAATGATTAAGGTGACTCATTACAGACGTTCACAGACAAACAATAGTCACTGGTCCACATGTGAATGTCGCACTGATTCTGGTCATCACAACACACGATACATCTAGAGTTAAACAAGACACCACAGTGATAATTTACACATGATGAGATCATAGGAATTAAGCTGAGGAAAGTGTAGATTGAAATCTATCTCACGAGTAATCTGTTTCATTGTTTCACTGTTCAGCACAATTTTGTCGATTCAACATTCCATTCTCAACTAATTAACAAACTCTTTGTTTTCAAAATTCTCTCTTTCCTACCGCAATCCAAATCAATATGCCATGAATGTGAGTTTATTGATTACATTTTCAAACACAAGAAGATATTTTGTTCAGTTAATACTTTCATGGATGTTCCATCAGTATGAGATAACTAGTTCCTTCAGACCTACAAACAGGGTGACACTGAATCCCAACTGTGTTCTGTGCATCAATGAATCGTGTTTGTAATGTAGGTTCAGCATGAAACCACATGGCGTTTGATGTTTGATGTTTGTAGAGATACCAGATGAAACTGTCTCCAATTGAACTGTCTGAATATCGGTAAACATTTGAAGAGATTTGAGAATGACCAACGTCTCTTCCCGACTAGTCTGATCATGTTCAACCGAATTCTCAACATCACACACACCCAGTCACCATATTGTTTTCATTGTTTTGTAGAATATAAAAGCCAAATGTAAGTTCATGTAACATTTCTGTATGTATAGCAGATCAATGTTTACTTCGCTTCTTCACTAATCTTAACATTTTGAGTATGTAATAGTTCACAGTTGCTGTCAGTCTAACATTCTCGTAACATTCTCATTATGGATTTAGTCACCTTAACGAATCACCAACATAGTTATATGTATTCATTGTTTGCTTTTACCAGATAAAAAACCAGTGTGGAAAGGGAACAGAGAACAATCAACAAACCAAACAAAACGTGAGATAAATACATAACCAATAATCTACCATTCCCCATGTAAATCTGACTAGATTGTGAGAAGTTTCGAAGTATTTGTGATAGTGGAGATACTTCGAGGTTAATAATTAACATGCTGATTGAACAGATATGAAATATTGAGACAAAATACACGTGACAATCTATTGAAGTGATAAACACTAGAAAGTCACTCTCATCCCAGTATATGGTGATTAGATACTAAACGTAAAATTCAACTCACTTCATTGAAAACCTGTGCTGTGTAAATCGAAAATGTGGAGAATTCGCATTACTGTATTCAACGGTTTCCGTCGAACATCAGTCATCTGATCGCGTTGAACACTAAAACACGCCTAGTGTTGGTTGAATGAATCTGTCAGTGCTATTTGTGCATGCTGAATGGTGATATAAGTAAACGTGGTCTCGCTTCACATCAACATTCTAGCATGAATCAATCATTTGTGTATATTCTGTTGGTTGAGTCGTTCGTCAATAAGTGATTTGGCTTTCTATGTTTATTCCATTTATGTAGCATCTGTGAATTTCACGGTGAAGAATGAGGACTTGACTAAGTTCACGACAGGTGGAAATCTCACCTAACTCACACTTCTTCAAACCTTCTCTTCCTATGATTACGTGAATATTTCTGCCGTGACCAATGCATCGTTTGCATATGTTCATGACGTTTTACGTACTACATGCTACTTTTGTCGATGAAGTTGGAAATCGTGTGTTTCAATATCATCTTAATTATTCAACCGTTAAATTCCAAATATGTCTCAACCGAATCTAGTCGCTTTCCAACGACTAACGCAAGATGATGTTATCTGTTTAAGCTAATGAAATAAATTATCTCCTCTTATGAAATTATTGAACTGAATTCGTCATATTACACTTGTGTTTATCTTTCAGTTACAGCATCGAATATTACAGTATCATCGTTTCTAGAAAATACAAGCACTGCATGTGAGTCAATCATCTCAGACTTCATTGTTCTTCCACTTCTACACCAATCATTCTTTGCTCTCATTCTCTTCTCTTCGATCTCCTTAACATTCTACTGCCAATCATTTCACTTCTCATTGATCATACATACTACCTAAATCTAGCGAAATCTGCGGCACAGTTGTGTTTATCTTTCAGTTACAGCATCGAATATTACAGTATCATCGTTTCTAGAAAATACAAGCACTGCATGTGAGTCAATCATCTCAGACTTCATTGTTCTTCCACTTCTACACCAATCATTCTTTGCTCTCATTCTCTTCTCTTCGATCTTCTTAACATTCTACTGCCAATCATTTCACTCCTCATTGATTATACATACTAATTAAATCTAGCGAAATCTGTAGCACACACCATAATTCAACATTCTAATTCCAAATATGTCTCAATGGAAAATATTCGCTTTCCAATCAATAACACAAGATGATGTTATCTGATTGGAGCCATGAAATAAATTTTCTCCTCTTATGAAATTATTGAACTGAATTCGTCTTATTACACTTGTGTTTATCTTTCAGATACAGCATTGAATATTACAGCATCATCATTTCTAGAAAATATCAGTACTTCAAGTGAGTAGGGACTTCACTGTCTGTTATGAATTCATGTGCATAATAATCAGTTGTCAATTTTCTCATACATCCAAACTGTCTGAACGTATTCGTACACATCGAATGCTACTCTCCACATATCAGTATTTTGAGAGATATCTCGTTTAATAAAGTCGGTTCACTCAGTTCAAATCATATTCACAATGTGTACACTTGTTCAACACAATTATATAGACGACGTTCATTTGACTGATGATTGATAATTTATGTCAATTCACATGTGTCAACTATATACTGCATATCCAGATGTAGATCTATTTGTGTATATGTAGGTCACGAATTATCTCGCATTCTCATGCAAAGTTCTAATTGATCGTTTATTCATTCTCAATTTGATAAATAAATTTCGATTCCTTGTTATTGATCTTTTCTTTCTCAGATGTCTTCATATCGACATTGATTCTGGTCATTTTCGTGGTCAGCATAGTTTTGTTCTTTCTAATCAAGATGTTATAACAACAAATGTGACGTGTATTTGTCTGTGTGAACTCTTTCTGTGTGTGCTGTGTGCTGTGTGCATGTGTGTGCAATTCTGTCAAACTGTATAAAACTTTCGTTAAATTATTTTCAATAAAAAGATGATACTGTGGTTTATTCCTTTTCGGAACTCAACAATGACTCACTAATAAATATACAGGGACAATGAGTAGTCGAGTGAACAATCATCTTCAACAACTAGGTCATCATATGCTACATTCACCATTCCACAATTATCGTGTTATTTAACAAAGGTTAAAACTAAGGCATCGAACGGTGAATCAGACCTTGTTTTATGTTTAACGACGCTTATGTAATCATAATCGATCATTATGTTTCTTTAACACTCATGAACAGTAGTGAAGTGCTCCTGCATAACACGTCCTTAAATTATCTACCACTCGTGAATATAATCACAATTCATTCAGAACGCCAATCAGTAAGTAGAGCACGAATGTAATTTAGGACTCGACGAAATACTGATTACGAATTCATCTTCCTACTTCTCTGTCTAAATGTTCACACTACTGCTCACTGTAAACAATTACCTTACCACACTTCACCGATTATTCGACTGTTATGTTGATTATTAGCATTACTATGAAACGCGAATTTCGAATAGAAAGATGTAAACAACTATCAAAAGGTAGTGCATCCATCAAATAACTTATGTAATTGTTCGACTTTAAAGCAGTATTTCTTTTAGGCTGTCGCATTTGAAGCATCCACGTGCTTATTGATGGTAAAATACAGTGAAAAGAACTATCTACAACTGCCAACTTGAACAAGTGAAACAATATTCCGTTCATTTCAACATTACAACAAGTTCATTCAGTTGTACAACAATAATGGCACAGTGCCTAATCTAACTGTCTAAACAACAATTTGAAGTGTAAATGTCATCCGCACTCTCGTCAGATATTCTGACTGACACTCAAGTCCAATCCCCAGCTGCAAGTATCAGACACAATATACACAGAAAACGAGGTCACAATATTGAGATGTTCGTGGCAGAAAACCAAATGTCACTATGACTAAACGAACATGTTGGTGTCAATAATTCAGCTTCCTTGAAAGTGGCTACTATTCTGTGGATGTTTTCTGCATAAATGATGGTTGATCAAATACTCGACGACTCAAGACCAATTCAGTGAAGTTGGTAATTTAGTGACTGACAAAATAGAAATAATCATCAGTTTGCGCAAATGAGTGAACATTGTGAAAACTGAAATCGACTGTGTTCCATCTATTACAACACTGATGGAATTTCGCAACAATTAAACAGTGAATGAATGTCCAGTCTATTGTGAAATTGATGTGAGAAGTAAATATTAAAATACGCTATCACACGTACAAATTGG